ATTGTTTTGCATTAATTTGACCTTTTTTTTGGTCAGAACCCAGGTGTTGATGACCTCATTTAGATTTTCTTGGGCTGCCACATGTCAGTTCAGAAATATCCCAATGCAGTGCAGCATTAGTTATGTGCTGTGGGATCTGGGCCAACCAGTTGGATCCATTGAATGTGGATAAGCTTTATTCATTGGCAAAATTAATAAACAATCACCGTGACTTGAGCCAGTCATAACAGTTGAGTTCCTCTGGGATGAACTGGTCTAGTCCCTGATTGGTTTCAGCCACACAATAGCTCTGTTATGTGTACCAATCAGTGTGTTGGGGTCCGCAGGGGCACTGCCACAGCTCTACACTGATACCCATTGGATAAACTGATTAAATCTGCAATAATCACAGGGCCCAGTGCAAGTGCAGTCAGTGCCCTTGAATATTGCCAGGGGGATCAAGTGCTTTGTTTTGGAAACATAAATGCATTTTATTGTTGCTGAAAGTGATTACTTGGTGACAGTGTTCTAGTACATCACTATTATCTTTTAATTAATGAGGACTGAGGGATAAATTCTGACCACAATGTCATGTACATGCTATTCAGATATGGGAGCAGGTAGAAGGAAAGATGGAGTAATACACAAAAGTTTTTCAGTGGCCTGTAAGACTCGACATTCTTGACTTCTGTCTGTCTGATAATTCCTTACCACTGTCCCTTTATGTGCTACACTCTCCTGATGCACATTGCTTCCAGCCTGAGGATTTTGCACTTGATACCTCTGCCTGGAATGCTTTGACCCCCAGATTTTGCATGACTGGCTCTGTTGTCATTCACATCTTCTCCACAGGGAGCTCTCTGATCAGCACATAGTGAGGCCCTACTCCTTCACTCCATATTATATACTCCTGTTTTATTTTCTTCATAGCACTTATTGCTATCTGAAATGCTTGTTGAATAGGTTATTTTGTAAGGTGGCTCCACTGAGTTCACTACTGTATCCCAGCCTGTTAGCACTGAGTCTGGCACACATTAGGTACTTAAACTGTTGAGTGAATGAATTTCTCTGTGTCTTGTCATGGGTTTTGAGTAAGTCAGTGGACATATGGCTCAGAGGAAAGAACACTTTGCCAGAGGGCATTAATGCTTTTACTCTAGACTCAGCCTCTAAACTATATATAGCATGGCTTTGGGCAAGTCAGTCCACCTTTGGGGACCAACTGACTATGTTGGGGCTCTTTAGCTCTAAGACAGTGTTTCCAAGTGCTTTTTTAGTTTTTGGTTGAGAGGGGGACAAATTGGGTAATGAGTATTTCCTGTTTTAGTCACTGAAGTTTTAACCTCAAAGGGGAGGGCCCTAAAAGATTATCCTAGAATGAGATGGTAATGGGTACCTATTAGGGTACCAGAATGTAACACATTTAATAGCTTCCACACTATTTAACAGATACCCAGTCAAGATGCCCATATGAGAATCTGGTTTTCTCTCTTTGGTGACCTATGGCCTAATGAGTATTTACAGGCCAGTAAAATTAGACTATCAGTGAATATAAAAATTCACAAACACCATAGAGGAGTTTCTGCTAGATCCCCCAGTGTCCACTTCCTCTCAAAGAGCTTGTAGAGGGAGCTTGGGAAAGCTGCAGGGCAAACCAGAGCTGTGAGAAGGAGGTGAAAGGGGCCCAGTGCTCCTCTCCCCAGGGGGATGGGCAAAAGCCTGCTCTCTTATCCTGTGCTGGTGACAGCCTTCACCCCTTATTCTTATCAGACATCTTCACATTCAGGACACCTAGAAAGCAGATTCATGAGGTTGGATGGCCATGTTGTGTTCCCAGCTTTAAAAAGAACTGCACCTTAATAAGTAGTAAAAGGGCTCAGGCAATTTGAAAAGAAGCACAATACAAGTGGCAGAGTACTGGTGTGACAATGGAGATAATAGTCCCAGGGTTGGAGACCAAATGTGATCTTTCGAAAGAAACACAAAATGAGGCTGTTAAACCAAAAACAAGAACAGGAAAATGAGCCCCACATAAATTCTTTAGAGAAAGTAAGATGTGAAATACAATAGTTTTGGAGCAGTAGTTTTGTTTCTGATGGAATTTTTCTGATAACGTGTTTCTTATGTGGCAACTCCCCAACTGCCCCACCCCATACACTAAAGGGTTATGTTTTGTTTTTCTCCTGAAAAAGAACACATGAATAAAGGTAAACTTTTATAAAGGTAAACTTTTAGAGGTGCTTTCTATTCCAGGAAAACTCTTTGCTGCCAGTGGAGAATTTTCATGGGCCCTACATAAAAAATACAATTATTTTATTCCAATCAGGTGATGTTCCTCAAGAAATTATTTTATTCAGGGGAAAACACAATACTTAAAAAACATTTTGGTTTTGGGGCCAAAACCTGGGTGGCTCAGTCGGTTAAGTGACAGACTCTTGGTTTCAGCTCATGTCTTGATCTATTGGTTTGTGAGATCAAGCCCCACGTTGGGCTCTATGCTGACAGTGTGGAGCCTGCTTGGGATTCTCTCTCTCTTCTCTTTCTGATCCTCTCTCACTTGTGCTTTCTGTTTTAAAATAGATAAGTAAACATGTAAGAAAAAAATTTTAAAAGATGTTTTGGTTTTTAAAAATTGATCCCTTCAACACCTCAGCTATTATTGGGAAGAGGCAGAATTTGACATTGGTCCCTGTCCAAATAGGGCTTACATTCTAATGGTAGGAGGTAGACAGCAACCAAACAAATGATGAGCACTCTGAAGGAAAATGAAGCAGGTGAGAGGGTAGAAAGGAAAGAAATTATTTTTTTAAAAAAATATTTATTTTTGGGAGAGCACAAGTTGGGGAAGGGCAGAGAGAGGGGGACAGGATCTGAAGTGGTCTCTGTGGTGACAAATGTGGGGCTCAAACACATTAACCATGAGTTCATGACCTGAGCCATAGTTGGACCCTCAACCAACTGAGCCATCCAGGTGCCCCAGAAATTACCTTTTTTAATGAACTGGTTGGGAGCCTCTTCTTAGAGGGTGGTAGTTGAACAGATCTAAATGAAGTGAGGGAGAAAGCCACATAAATATTTGGGAGAACATTCTAGGCTTCAGGCAACCAGACCAGCATGATTGGAACAGAAAGAGTGGTGGGGAGAATGAGGCTGGGACATGAAGCTCTGATGAGGACATCACACTTTACTTTCACGTTGACTGCTTTGGAGGACTTTGAGCAGAGAAGTAACAGGGTCTGACCTAAGTTTTCAAATAATTCCTTTGAGTACTGTGTGGAAAATAAAGTGTACTAAGAGTGGAATCAGGGACGCTATTTAAGAAGGTATTTTATTGTAGCACCTGGGTGGCTCAGTTGGTTAAGTGTCCAACTTCGGCTCAGGTTATGATCTTGCTGTTCATGAGTTTGAGCCCACGTTCGCGAGTTTGAGCCCCATGTTGGGCTCCTACTGTCGGTGTGGAGCCTGCTTCACATCTTCTGTTTTCCTCTCTCTCTGCCCTTCTCCTGCTCATGCTCCCTCTTTCTCTCTCTCTGAAAAATAAACAAACATTAAAAGAAAAAAAAAGGAAGGTATTATATTTGTTCAGGCAAGATAGTGGTTTGGACTAGGATATTAGAGGTTAGTTATATTTAAAATACAGGTAATAGTGTTTATTTTTGTAATGTTTGTTTTGAGGGGGGTGCTTCGAGAGAGGGAGACAGAGAATCCCATGCAAGTCTCCAAATGGCCAGTGCAGAGCCCAACATGGGGCTCAAACTCATGAACCAGGAGATCATGACCTGAACTGAAATCAGTATTCAGACACTTAACCAACTGAGCCACCAATGAACCCTGGAAACAGGGTTTATTGATGGATTATCTGTATGGGGTGAGGGAAAGACAGGAGCTGATAATGAGTCCAAAATCATTAGGAACTGAAGGAATGGAGAAAAAGTTTTGCTTTTCCAATGCAGTAGAAAAATGAAGTCAATGGGAAAATAGGGCTGGGTACCTAAATTAGTTGTGGTGTGGAGTGTGGCCAGGAAAGGTTTACTGCTTTCCCTTTACATGCTAGTTCATTGCTTTGTTAGCTTTGGCCAAGCCTCTCTTTCTGACATTGTGGTTTTTTTTGTTTTGTTTTGTTTTGTTTTTGTTTTTTGGCAGGGGTGGAGTGGGGTAGAATTTAGTATTTTTTTAAAAATTGAAATATGACATATAACATTGTGTAATTTTAAGGTGTACCAGGTGTTGATTTGATACACTTATATATTGCAATATGATTACCACCATAGGATTAGCTAACACCTCTATCACATCACATAATTATCACTTTTTTTTGTGGTGAGAACAATTCAGATCTAATCTCTTAGCAATTTAGAAGTTTATGATACAGTATGGTTGGCTATAGTCACTATACTGTGCATTAAGTCTCCAGAACTTATTTAACTATTAGTTGTAAGTTTGTACCCTTAAAACATCTCCCCTGAAAATTACTATTTGACTCTCTGTTTCTACAAGTTCAGTTGTTTGTTTGTTTGTTTGTTGCTTTGTTTTTTGTTTTAGATTCCACATAGAGGTGATATCATATAGTATTTGCCTTTCTCTGACTTATTTCACTTAGTATAATGTCCTAAAGTTCCATCCATGGTGTTGCAAATGTCAGGATGTTACTCTTTTCATGACCTAATAATATTCCATTGTTTGTGTATATATACCACACATTTAACCATTCATTGATTGGTGCATACTTGTTGTTTCCATATCTTGCTTTTGTGAATAATATTGCAATGAAAATTGGAATGCAGATACATTTTTATATTGTTTTCATTTCCTTTGGATATGTACACAGATCATATGTTTCAGTTTTTGAGGAACCTCCATACTGTTTCCCATAGTGGCTATACCACTTTACATTCCCACTAACAGTACATAAGTATTCCTTTTTCTCTACATTGTTGCCAGTGATTATTATCTCTCATCTGCTTGATGAGAATCATTGTAACAGGTGTGAGGTGATATCTCCTTGTGGTTTTGATTTGCATTTTCCTGATGATGAGTGATGTTGAACATCTTTTCATGTACCCATTGGTCATTTGGTTGTATTCTTCTTTGTGTGTGTGTGTGTGTGTGTGTGTGTGTGTGTCTTCTTTTGAAAAATTGTCTATTCAGTTCTTCTGCCTATTTTTAAAATCAGATTTTGTTGTTACTTAGTTGTATGAGATTTTTATATATTTTGGCTATTAGCCTCTTATCTGATACATGGTTTGTAAATATTTTCTCTCATTCCATAGGCTACCTTTTCATTCTGTTAATTGTTGAGTTTGCTATGCAGAAACTTTTTAGTGTGATTTTGTCCTACTTGAGTTTTGCTTCTGTTGCTTGTGCTTTTTGTGTCATATTCAAAAAAAATCATTGCCAATACCAATGGCAAAGAGCTTTTCCTGTATGTTTTCTTCAAGGAATTTATAGTATCAGGTCTTATGTTTAGTCAGGTCTTATATTTAAGTATTTAATTTACTTTGAGTTAATTTTTATGTGAGTGTGGTAAGACAGGGATTTTGTCTGTTTTTTGTTTTTGTTCTCTTCTAGGAATCATCTTGATTCCTAGATCATCCAAGATCGTCTTGATCTTGGCCTATGGATCTTAAGACTAGATCCATGCCTTACTACCAAGCTGAACATCTGAGGATAGAGATCCCTGGTCTCCAGGACTAGGCTCTGGACCTTTGCTTTGACCAGAAGAATTCATAGCTGAGATCTAGCTTTCAGGGGTAAAGTAACTCACCAGGGAAGGCACCTTGTCCTCTCACTGGCACTGTAGGACAACATAATGAGGGGTATCCTAGCCACTCTGAGCACACTTAGCCATCTGTAGTTCAAGCTATTCAAGATTCACCAATGGAGCCAGGATTAGAGTCAGTTTTTCCTAGTGCATACGGTGGAGGTAGATACTTGAATGATAAACTTTCTAAGAGGTAGGAGAAATATATACTGAATGGCCCAAAAAGAAAATGTCTGCTACCTAAGGGAAGAGAAACAGCATGCTCAGGCAACAAATGGAGGAAAAAAGCACTTTGGGAGCGCCTGAGTGGCTCAGTCAGTTAACGTCTGACTTTGGCTCAGGGCATGATCTCGCGGTTTGTGAGTTCAAGCCCCATGTCAGGCTCTGTGCTGACAGCTCAGAGCCTGGAGGCTGCTTTGGATTCTTTGTCTCCCTCTCTCTCTGCCCCTCCCCTATTCATGCTCTGTCTGTCTGTTTTTCTCTCAAAAATAAATAAACATTAAAAAACAAATTTAAAATTAAAAAATGCACTTTAGGGAATCTGTAGTCCATGGGAGAACATGATGTAACAATCTATTTTGAGCTCACTTACAGTTAGATACCTCCAAGGATACACACTTAGGTTGAAGCATACCTTGCCTTCAGGTGTTAATGGGAAAATGGTAATGTATGTGTAAGTCAGAGCCTCTTGTGCTTAAGGGACAGAAGCTTCTCAGAAATCATACGTTGACCTGTTTTCAGTCATCTTAGAAACAGGCCATTCCTCTCTGTAATTGATGGCAATATTAGCCGTGCTTCTGGTTTAAAGAGATCAGAGATCAGAGATGGGAAATGGACCGGTTTCATCAAATGTGCATCATAGGTCATGCTATGTTAGAGCTGAAAAGGATCTCAGAGGCTGTTCAGTCCAATCCTTTAATTAGATGATAGGGAGGAAAAGGCTTAAGTAGAGTTCTAGATATAAAGTTACATATACATTCAAAGACTTATTTAACCACTCCATGCAGACTGTGTGACTGCCCTCTTAATTTGCTATTTCTGCTGAGTCCATGTCCAAATGAAGGGAAATTAGGCGCTTTTGGTATATACATCCTTTGTCTTTTCTTGTTGGTCATCCATTAATTAGAAAAATTTTCTCTGAGTACCTATTACATGTCTGGAACTGTTCTTAGTTGAGAATATACTAATTAACAAGACAGACATATAGAGGGAAGAGACAGAAAAAAAAACTCAATAGTCAAGTGCATTATTTAGATTGTGATATTATAAAGAAAACAAAAGGACGCTATAAACTAGTGAAAAACAGGGGGCTACTTTAGCTAAGAAGATCAAGGATGAATTCTCAGAAGAAGGGAATAATTCAAAAACTTTAACTCAAGGTAATCTGAGAAAATTCCAGCAGGCCTCGTTCACCTCTAGCCACTAAGGATAGTTCAGGTCTGGACACTTGAGGTGATCCTATAGCTGTTGTTGTCTGACTACCCTCAGGTTAAAGATTCCCTAAGCTGCTCGGAGCTATCCAGATCTACATAGCCCAGTTTATGGAGGCTGTAATACAGAAGGGCATAAGAACCAGCTGGCTATTTTGGGGGATGTGTGTACAGATGCCAGGTTGTGTCTTATATAGCTGTAGGGTCATCATTCACATCGACTGAATTGAACACAACTGTACATGGTGGCTTTGATCGAGACAAAGATTTAACGTGGTTTCCCCCTTCAATTTATTGTATGAAATAGTCTGGAATTTAGTCAGTGGATTTGGTTTAATCTACTCTCTGCTTCTCTTGATAAACTCCATGGTGGTGGCCTGGACAATCAAGTTTTGTGAATTTTAGCCCTATGTGTTTCCAAACAGAGTCATCACTGCAGAACATGGAGTCCAAAAGCCTTGAGGGGCTCTTAACTAGTTTTTTGTCCCAGGAAAGAATTCCAGAAACTTGCTACTGTTGACAAAACTTCTAAATATAATGAATAACTTGGAAAGCTCAGGTATCATAGCACTACCCTCCTGCCCCCAACATAGTGATAATATATATTTATTCACATGCCTTTTCCCCTGCCTCTCTCTTATCCCCACATTTAAACTGCATGAGAACAGAATCATTGATTCCTTCATGCTTCCCAGAGCCCCTAGGACAGCACTGCTTTATGTGTAGTTGGTGTCCACTAACTGTTTATTCCATGAATTAACCTGGAGCTTCACAGAGCTTCTGTGATCATGAGTCAGAGCTTTTTCATCTGGGTCCTCCCAGAAAGATTTGGCTTCTAGTCCTGCAGCAGAATAATTCTATTTTTGGGAGCGGGGAACCATCTGGAGACTCTCAGCTGGGGAACATGGAAAATCCAGTATCAGGGTTAAGATAGGTGAGGGGACAGGATGCCCTCAGAACTCACATCTCAGTGAGATTCCCAAACCCTTTGCCTGAGTAGGAGTGCTAGACAGGGATCGGGGCTCCTTGGGACCCCTCTTCCCCTCAGTGGGCAGAGGACTGCACCAGCATCATCCATCCAGTATGTCCAGGATTCTGTCTCAGGATTTGTATTTATAATTCTTTTTTTTTTTAAATGTTTTATTTATTTCAGAGAGAGAGAGAGAGAGACAGTGTGAGCAGGGGAGGGTCAGAGAGAGGGAGTCACAGACTGAAATAGACTCCAGGCTCTGAACTGGCAGTCAGCACAGAGCCCGACGCGGGGCTCAAACCCACGAACCGCGAGATCATGACCTAAGCGAAAGTCGGACGCTTAACCGACTAAGCCACCCAGGCGCCCCTCAGGATTTGTATTTAAAGGGAATCTTATTTTCTCTTCCTTTTTAAAAAAAAAACTTTTTTAAATGTTTTATTTCTGAGAGAGAGAACGTGAGAAGGGGAGGGTCAGAGAGAGAGAGGGAGACACAGAATCTGAAGCAGGCTCCAAGCTCTGAGCTGTCAGCACAGAGCCCAATGCTGGGCTCAAACCCATGAACCGTGAGATCTTGCCCTGAGCCTAAGTTGGACGCTTAACCGACTGAGCCACCCAGGCGCTCCTCTCTTTCTTTTTATTTTTAGCCTTTGAGTCAAAAATAAAACCTATTTTATTATAAACAAGAATGTCCTTAATGACCTTTCCCAAGTGGAAGGCAAGGTGCCCATAGCCCATAATTTGAATTTAAATCAATTCCTTTCCTAGCTTGAAAAACAGACAGAAATAACTTCCCAGGAAGGTGAACTTGGGGGACTCCAAAGCATTCTCAGGGTACTTTCAGTGCTCTGTAGTTGAGCTTTTACAAAGGTAAACAGGACTTACCTTGCTGGTTTCTGAGAAGTTTGTGGAGGGATGTGTACCAGGCTTCAACAAAACACCGTTGTGAGGCCAAGTGCCAAGTTCTTTGCGTGAAGGGCAAATCCATGCTCGTGTAGAGTTGCGGCCACATATGGTGCTGATGCCTGCTGTTTGGAAAGAATTGCAGTGCAATTAAAAGACTTTCTGAGACTTGGCAATATTGTTAATTCCTTTGCCATTTTATATGAGCAGGAGGATTAATTAGTGTTGGCTTTATAGAGTTATATCTAAATGCATATGTTTTGGGTTAGATATTTCTTTTTACTAGATTAGTCAGACTTGTTCCCAATTGTGAAGGCTGCCTCTTGGGATTCATTCGTGCCTGTCTGAATGCTTCTTGTTTGCTGGGGTGTGTTATCCAGGGCTGACGCCAGAACCTTACTCTGTCCTTACCTTGCAGTATTACTTTTGAAGAAGAAATCAGAAGGCAAGAATACAGGGGTTGACTTGGCCACAGAATACCTCTTGTTTTTGTCCATTTCTGCAAATGACTTTTTAAAAGTCTAGTTTTCCCAGTTGCATTTCCTTGATATTTCTTTGTTTTCACACTTTTACAGGAGAGAGAAAAAGAGACAAAACTCCCTGCAGCAGGGGCATCTTTTAATGAAGCTTAGAATAGCCCTCCAGAGCTACTTATTCAGGCCTCCTCAGTGTTCACATCTGAGCCCACGAGGTTCCCAGTTCTTCTGTCAATTAAGCCATAATTAGTAGAATACTTTTTCATGGATGCTTTGGTGACCTTGGAAATATAGGGTATTCTAGAAATAGATACATTCATGATTCTCTTTCTCATTGCTGATGGTAATGAGGGTAGTTTTCTTCCTGGCGCTGGGCCTAACACATGGGGGTGTGCAGTAAATGTTGAATGAATAAATGTTTGGCTTGGTGCTTGGGACATTGTCTGGGAGTGGTGGCTGTCAACTTAGCGTGCATGAGGCTCACCAAGACAGCTTATTAACAGAGTCATTCCAAGCT